AGAAGGATCAAGAGGAGACTGAAGGATTCGAGTTTGGTTCATTATTTGCAGTCTATGAAAGGTATAAAGTATGTACCTTGCTTGCTTATTTGTTAGATCCCTTTTTGGGGAAGATTTAGGGCTTTTAAGCCATATGAGGTGACCAACCATGATTTGCAAACATGGTTGGGGGTCAAGACTTCGGATCTAGCACTTGGGAAGAGTCACAAGGCAAATTTGGGTTGCTTTTGCACCCAAGGAAGGCCCCATGCAACAAAAGAGCCATTTTAGAGCCTTTTTGGCTCAAAAGTCCCATGCATGCACGTAAAGTTCGTAACTTTACATGCTAGATCGAGCTTAGGGGCTTGGATCTATCATTTGGACAAGTGTTGTACATCTGAAATCGAGGATTTAGGATGTGGATGTCATCGACTCGGTGAGTCCGCTCTTGGGACTCAATGAGTCCAAGGCTTTGAGTCCTATATCTGTTGGTCAAAGGAACTCAATTGGGTGTTAGAAGGATTGTAGAAGGATAGAAGGAGTAACCCAACGCATTGGACTTAGTTTTAGACCTGGAGTTTATGGGAATCGACGAGTGCTAGAACAGACTCGGCGAGTCCAAGGCAATCTTCTTATGTTTGAAGATGAACTCGACGAGTTGTTCATACAACTCGGCGAGTCAAGGTCAGGACTTGTTCATCAGATGAAGGTGAACTCGACGAGCTATTTATACAACTCGGCAAGTCGGATGAAGGTTCATTGACGTTCGTAAAGAAAGGGAACTCATCGAGTCATTTCCAAACTCGACGAGTCGAGTCATGGATAAGGACGAGTAAAGGGTAAGGACTCGACGAGTTAAAGGCCCAACTCGGCGAGTCGGGTCAACTAGAAGTTGACTTTGACTTGGACTTGGTTGGGGGTAAAATAGTCATTTTACCCTAAAAGTAGATATTAGCTTCTGACTGAGTGTTTTATGGGGATTATAGCCGGATGATTTCCGGAGCAGCAACAGACAGAGGTTTCCCGCGCAGATTATCAGTAGCTACTCGTACGAGGTGAGTTACCTTCCAGTAGGGGTGGGTCTAAGGCCAAAATGCTAGCTCACCAAAGAGAAATATTTAGGATATGATTGTCTTTGTGATAATTATATGGGTCTGTTTATGTGCCTTGGTTATGAGGTTTATCTGTATGATATGGTATGTGTATAGTAGGGATCAGTTTCCCTGACAGTGGTCCTTAGGACCGAAGGGTAGGTCTGTATGCGGATATGCCTGATTGTATGTTTATATCATGATGTTGTATGCTAGTGGTAGGGGTGGAATAGTCCCCAGTTACCGGTTGAAAGATACCAATGATGGTTACCGGTTGAAAGATACCGATAATGATTACCGGTTGAAAGATATCGATGGAAGCTACCGGTTGAAAGATACCGACGATGATTACCGATTGAAAGATGCCGATGATGATTATCGGTGAAAAGATACCGATGATATTGTATGGTATGTGGTATGATGGGGGAACTCACTAAGCTTTGTGCTTACGGTTTCAGTTTTGGTTTCAGGTACCTCTTCGTGTAAGGGTAAAGAGTCAGCGGCGTAGCATCGCATCACACACGCACACATGATTCCACATCGGACTTTTTGGGATTGTACTTATATTTTCATTACTTTTGATGTCATGTTTTGGGACACAACATTATGATTTTGTAATGTGTTGCTTTATTGACAATGTTATGGTAAAATGCATTAAAAATTAATAATTCAAAAACGAAATTTTCAGGCTTGAATTTTGGGATGTTACATATTCATCACGTATCTCTGCATCAAATCAAAGTTGCTGAGGAAATCTGTGAGCATGCTGCAAAGGAGTACACTTTAATGGTGGCAGAAATTATCCAAAAAGGTATGTGGAATGGATCGATGGAGGGGACCGATGTGATGCTGTTTGATAAAGAATAACTCATGCTAGCCGCAAACCAAGGGGGAGATTGAAAGGTTAAAGTATATGGTTTGGGCTAGGCATTACATGTATAGATGAGTTAGGGCTTTTGAGAATGTTATTTGGAGTTTTTTCGGTATTTGTTATGTTTTCGATCTAGGAAAGGTTTTCGGTCAGGCTATGACCGAAAACCTATTATCGGTCAGTGTTAGTATAAATAGGTGTCAGGTTGTCATTTGTACAGTGATGGTTCACTGCGTTTTCGGTTCATAGAGTTGTATTAGATGATTTTCAGATCTAATCGTATGCAAGCTCAATTTTGATCATTCCTCTTCTCATCTTCTTTATTATTTCACTTGCTTGATTGATCATTGGTATAGATCCTTCCATCAAGGACCTTACATTAGCAAAAAGGGCCATTCATGCAAGTTTTGGAAACCAAAGGGACCATGTTCATTAAAAAAATTAGTAGGGACTAACTTTATGACTTTTCGCAAACTATAGTGACTCTCTTTATAATTTTATCAATATTTAATAATCATTAATTATTATGTTTTTTATGATTCAAAAGTAAATGATTCTATAATGATCTAAAACAAAAACTTTATGGTCCAAATTAATACGATCGAAAAGTATATGATGCATATCTATCCTAATAAATAAAAATATTTTTGCCACATATCACACTCACTTTGATTTGGTCACATGTCATTATTAATTTCTATTAATTTTTTTCCACATGATATTTTGTAGTTTTTTCCATTTTATTAAATTCATATAATATTAAATGTAATAATTGCAATACATATAATAATAAATGATTTCAATAATTGACTTTCTTTCTAATTTCAATATTTTTAAATTAAAACTTCATTAGTTTTATTTGGTTATTTCTATGAATTGTTTGTTTGATTTTATAAGAAAAAAACACTTTAATTTTAATAATTCAATATTTTTCTAAATTTTCTTGTAAATTCAAACCTTTTCAAATGTTTAGAATTTTTGTATTTAATTTTTTTTAATAAACCCATGTACTACATGGGTCTTATATATATATATATATATATATATATATATATATATATATATATATATATATATATATATATATATATATATATATATATCTTTACTATCTTATAAAAGAAATCTAACTGTTTCTAAAAATAGATTGATTATAATTATAATATTTTTTTTAAGACGTCCAAATGATGAAGCTGATAGTACAAGTAACCATTAATAAAATAATATTAAATTTTAACCACATTTTGAATTCAAATATTTATCATCGAATCTCCTTATATTTCTCAGCAATTTGATATGGTTCCCTCAAATTGCGGATTCATAATTTTGAACCCTTTTAGATATCCTTAAATTTAGCATGTTGATTTAAATATCTCTCCAATCGCATATACCTCTTTGTTACTTACTCTGCTATAAAGTCCACCGTCTAAGAATAAAAAATGACTTCATCTCCCAAATAACACCATAGTTTGATTTTTTTTGTCTTCGACATGTATTTTCTTTTGTAACATAACATTTTCGTAGAGGAAACATATCACCATAAGAATTTACACGCTCCGCCGCTTTGCGCGGGCACATTGATAGTATATATATATATATATATATATATATATATATATATATATATATCATTTTTCCTTTCACCACGTTCATTTGAAACTCTCATGTATATATTTTTCCTTTCACCACATTCATTTGAAACTCCCATGATATTTCAATTTCTTTTTAATAATGATTATAAGTTGGCTAATATGATTAAATAAATATCAAACCTAAAGTATAATCATATATAAATTAAATTTCAATATTAAAAGAATATCTTTAATTTTACTTATAAAGTTATGTTTTTTTAACTTTTAACATATTATACTTACTTTATTAGTTTTAATATAATGTTGTATATAAACCATTGTCATCTTAAAGCTACAATTTTTGAACAATTTGTATAAAATACATAAATTATAAATTTGAATATAACATTATATGATCAACTTAAATATAAATTTCAGTTTAACTTAAATAACCAAAAAAAAGTATTTTTTAAATAGCGAAAAGTGATAAATTGTAATTTCTTTCAAATAATAATTATAAGTTGGTTAATAAGGTTAAATAAATATCAAACCTAAAGTATAATAATGAATAAACTAAATTTCAATATTAAAATAATATATTTCCTTTTACTTATAAGGTCATGTCTTTAAATTTGAACATATTATACATAATTTATTAGATTTAATATAGTGTTGTATGTATATCATTATCAGTTCAAAGCTATAAATTTTGAACAGTTTGAAAAAAAAAAATACTTAAATTGTTAATTTAAATATAGCATTATAGTATCAACTTAAATATAAAATTCAGTTCTACTTAAAAAACTCAATGTATATTTCATGAATAGTTAAAAGTGATAAATTATAGTGCTAAATACAAAAACTAAATTATAATCTCAATTTATTTAAAATATTTCCTAAGTATAGTTTAATAATTGTCAAAGTTTTCAAATAAGTACCTTAAAATAACTTACAATAACAATAGTAAATTATAACTTTATATATTATATCAATTTATTATCTGAATTATTATATCAAATTTAACAATTTTATTGTTATATTAAAAAAATATTTGTAAATATTTCAAGTAGATAAGTGTTTATGCGCAACGCACGGGCATTCACCTAATGTGTGTGTGTGTCTATATATATATATATATATATATATATATATATAGAGAGAGAGAGAGAGAGAGAGATAGGTTCAAATATTCTAACTAAGTATTTTGTGGATGTAGGAATCATTATGGGTCAATCATTTCAGAAACCTAAATAAGGGTTAAATAGTAATTTTAACCATTAATTAATTTTAATAATTAAATATTAAATTATTAATACCATTAATTTAGGCAAATTAATGGAAATTGGTTACTGAGCCTACAAAACCATCGACCCGTCATCACCATCCACACAATGTTTCCCTCTTTCCTTCCTCACCACCGGCGGCGCCAATAATCCTCCATCACCGTTACACTATTTTACACAATCCTCCATCCCTAGTTTTTTGCAAATGGACATTTGCTCCGGCACTAATTTGTCAGTTGTAGATATTGCTAACGATCTTCATGATCTTCAAAATAATCCACTCGAATCCACTCATGGAGTCCTTAAACCTCTTTATGTGGATGAACTCGACATTAATGTTACCGAGTTTTTCAACATTCAAGATGACACGAATGAGGATTTAAACTCCTCATCACCCTATGAACCTAAAGACACAACAACTCAAGCTCCTGATAAATGTCTCAGCAAATCTACAACATTTCCTTGTCTAGATTCCATCACGAGTGTTGTAAAACTTGCCAAATTGACCGATTAATCTTTCGAGTACTCGTTACTCGAACCCTTACCAAGGCGAGTTACAAAATTCCAAGTGAGACTATTATGTGTTTTTCAGTTTTTGCATATTCACATGTATTTAATTTTTTTTATATATATTTCAATCAACTTATGATTTTGACATATATAATTTCCATACAAATATTTCCACATGAATTACCGAATTCGAGTACTCCCTAAGTACTCCCGAGTACTCACTACTTGGTAGTGGGCAGAACATGTACCGAGTAACGAGTTCTACAACATTGCCCAGCACCGTACACAAGATCAAATATTTGGATCAATTTGGCTCCCATTCCGTTTCTTTACCTGTAAGTATAGTTTTCTTGGATTTAACATTTATGAATTATGAGTAGGATTTTGTAAATCTTAATTTATGGTGAGTGATTGGATTTTGTGTTACTTACAGACCCATTTGAAGGTTGTATCTGCCATGAAAGGTAGCCGTGAGAAACGTGCAGTGGCTCCACCAGTGACACTGAGGGTAAAATCTACACCAGATGTTTACGATCCAATTCCTACTTCACTATCATATGTTTTAAATACATTTTCTTTCCTAGTCTGATTATAGTTTTCCAATTGGATTACTAATACTAACTACTTTGTTATTATCTCGTGGAGTGAGTGATCATTACATTTCCATCCTTTACTTTTCACAATTGGCAGCTTCGTTGTCGAAATGCATTGAAAGAGAATTTGATGTCTATGTTGCAGGCTAGGAGTTTGTAGAAATGCCTAAAAGATAACTTGATGTTCAAATTCTTGAAGAGCATAAAATCAATTATAACTTGGTTATTTGTGTTACTTGGTTCTAACATGTGGTATGAATTCTCTTAGAATACTAAAATTTGTTTTATTTTTGCCTTATAAAAGCATTCTTACATAGTTTTATTCTTACATAATTTACTTTCATGGTAGTTATCTGATAAGATGCATGAAAGACATGATGATCATGGGCCTGAAGGTTATATGAATGTGTGTGGGATGGAGATGAACAATCGTCAATGGTCACCGATCTTCTAAAAAAATGGACAATTCATTGTCATATTCTGGTTGAATAATCTATAATTAAACGATAAGAGTATATGTAATAGTATATTCCGATCGAATAATCCACATAGTGTATTTGTTTGTTATTAGTGAGTGTTATATTATCATAGAATAGTATATAAAGTTTTACTTTTATATTTTTAAGAATGTGAGGAAAAAAATTAATTTGTATATAAAATTTTGTTATTCTTTAAAAATTAATTCAATAAAAATATATATTAATAACACTATATATTCTGATAGAATATTATAACCTATTTGTTATTCTAACAGAATAAAAATCGATTTCTCTTCCAAATTACGTTATTACTAAAATTGAAATAAATAAAAAATATATATTAGATTTTTTAAATCAAGATAATTAATTATCCCCTAAAATATGGATTTTCCTTTTTAATTTTAACTTAATTAAATAAAATACCCTTAGATGGTAATTTTCTATTATCTTTAATTCAATAAAATTTATTAATAACTTCTTAAAATAATTGAAATAATAGATTTACAATCAATCCTATATTTATACTATATTTAAATGATAATAGTAATGCCAACAAATATATATATATATATATATATATATATATATATATATATATATATATATATATATATATATATATATATATATATATATATATATGGGTAAAGTGAATATACCTAACAACCTTATATAAGTTTAGGTACCTAACCACATTATACTACATTGTTTTGCATTATATTTCCATTGCAATCGTCTAAGGTTGTTAAACTTCAACCTTTAACTTGATTTACTTCCAAGATTTTCAGACATTCACCATTGTATTCCTCCTACACCATTTGATTTGTAACGGTAGTATATGATCATTTGAAGGAAGATAATGGTGAAAGTTCAAAGATTTTGGAAGCAATCAAGTTATGAGGTTGAGTTTTAAGAACTCTGGGTGATTACAATGCAAATATGATACAAAATTACGTAGTATGATGTGGTTAGGTACCTAAGCTTATATAAAGTTGTTAGGTATATTCACTTTACCATATATATATATATATATATATATATATATATATATATATATATATATATATATATATATATATATATATATATTAGTATGTTATTGTTTGGTTTTCTATTATACATATATGACATCGTATGTATGTGTGTAAACGAGTAGGGTTAATTTTGGCAGTGTTAGACGTAGTCATTATTGACAACGGTGGGGCGTAACTAAGCAAACCAACACATGAAGCCTGAGGGGGTTATCTATATATAATCACTTGCAATGCCTCCTTCATCTTTGCTGCCACAAATTATAGACTGTACGAGCGGTTCAAATCCACTCTTTATCCTTTTCAATCTTATCATCACGTATAACTTCTTCACCTGTCATTTATTTTACCAGAAATTTTAAAATTCTAATCAAAATTCACTGCCGGACAAAAAAAAAAGATACAAAAAAGAAAAGGAAATTATGTGGAAATCCTAGCAGGAAAACATAGAAGTCTGGAGATTACAAGGACTCAAACGTGCGGTTAAAACTTGAAAGTATTACTGATTTTGTTAATGTTTCCTAGTTTAATTTTAAGGTACTTTAAGACCTTTAATTCACTTTAAACGGTAATTCACTTTGAACAGTGGATATGAATCATGCATATTCAAATATCGCATATATATAGTTTTGGGTTGTTTTTAAATTAGTGAATATTAATTGATGGAAATATACGTAAAACATTAATTATTATTTATATAATATATAATTAATTATATCCCATCAGACATTCCTGATTCACCGGATCGGGTTACCCTCTATCTATTCGCCGGTTCAAAAAAAAATTAACTATTCGTTATATCATGTATAATTATATGTAAAGACATTAATCATGCATATGGTCGAACAACATGGTTGTTATTTATGTACTCTTTTGATAACGTGTTTTTTATTAGTATACATAGTTTGACAATGATGAATATATAATAGAACGACGGAAAATATAGACATATAACATTTTCTCAAGATATAGCTAACTTAATTTTTATTTTTAATCTTCAATAATAATCTGGAACGCATAGCTCTCACTACAATTGTTGAATATCAGATCCAATATATACACAAACAAATCGACAAATAATATTTAAAAATCATATGTCGATTAGTTGCGAATAATAAATCCAATTATTTATTTATTTATTTATTTTTGGAAATGAAACTTTCCTAACGAGGGTTCCGGACCAGCTTTCACGTACTGATTAATCCCCCGTTGCAAACATGAGCCTATGTCTCATCTCATGGAGTCACTACAAACGAACCTCTATGATCACAATGTATGAACATGCTAGAATTTAAACAAGGTCAATAAGTTATCCACCATATTTTTTACGTGTTTTATCAGGTCATCACAACCCAAATGGTTAATGTTGTGGGTAAAAAATTTGACTTAATACTTCTATACCTTGAACCTGTACTAACATCCCGGGCAAACCCAATATCTTGAATTTATTCTGTATCTTGGCTTGTCATCGTATTTCTTGTAATGTTGTGTGAATAGATTTAAGGCTCGATGAAAAAAGAATAGACCAAGTCAACTATACGTGATCAATGTCTCATGAACGTTGAAGACTCTTAAGAAAGCCGAGTCAATCAAGGATCAAGGATAATCCTAAGAATGTTGGAATTTTTGTTATTCTTGTTATATATATATATATATATATATATATATATATATATATATATATATATATATATATATATATATATATATATATATATATAAAGACTAGTTGATTGATGTACACAGAGAGACTTCAACTACTTCTTCTTCTCTGATTTTTTTCGACACTTAAGCACATTCACGTTATTTCTATGATCAGCTAGTACCTGTAATTTTATTTGAATTTAAAACAAGTTCTAAGGGAGGTGATTTTATCACCTCTCGAAGTTTTATGTCGGACATCCAAAAGGATTAAGGACTTTTCTCAATGGAACAGAAAAACTTCGACTCATATGCTTGTTCTACTACGTGTTGAATCATACACAAATGCATGTTTTATAACATCAAGTTACTAATGTGTTTTTGCACAATCAATGCACAACCAACTTATATGCAACAACTCATATTTCTAAGTTTGAAGACTTATATGATATTACCGTCTCACAATCACTTCAGATAAATTCCATGAAGTGATACAAGTGAGCATGGGTTGAATCCAATACTCAAAACTTATGAGTATTCATGAATGTTGTTACAACTTTTACTATGTCCACCATCTTAGACATCTACAAACCCGATTCATGATAGTCTTAATTCATACCTACTTCTAACGTATGACTAATTGTGGAGAGTTTGAATAAAATAATTATTCTGGAAGTCAAAACATGCAAAATTGAAACAATAGTAAACCATTGACACAAGATAGCAACACTTTACTTATAAATAAACAACAACTTTTATTTAATCATCGAATGTCAACAACATCTTACAAGTTTCAGAAATAACTATCTAATATGCAAAAATAATATCATCCTTCATCCTGATGCGCCTCGCATGCTGCAAATGCTTAACCCTACACAGTCCCTTCGTGAGGGGATCTGTTGGGTTCTCATCTGATTATACCCTCTTAACCACGAGGATCCCTTCTTCTATTCGATGTCTAATGAAATGGTATTTTCTGTCGATGTAACTGGATCTGCCGTAATCCCTTGGTTCCTTAGCTAAGGCAACTGCACCCTCATTGTTATAGAAAATCTCCATAGGCTCCTTAATAGTTGGGGGAACTCCAAGGTCTCCAATGAAGTTCTTTACCCATATTACCTCCTTTGCTGCCTCGCTTGCTGCTATGTACTCTGATTTTCAAGTTGAATCAGCTACTATCTCCTGCTTGGAAGTTTTCCAAGTAATTGCTCCTCCATCTAGGGTAAAGACCGAGCCCGACTGAGAGTGGAAATTATCCCTATCAGTTTGGAAGCTAGCATCACTATACCCCACTACTCTCAACTCATCACCCCCCCCCCCCCGAGGGTAAAGACCCAGTCCCTAGTCCTTTGCAGGTACTTGAGAATATTCTTCACCACAGTCCAGTGAGCCTTGCCCGGATTCCCTTGATATCTGCTGACCATGCTGAAAGAAAAGGCCATATCAGGGCGAGTACAAGTCATAACATACATGATCGAGCCTATAGCGGAAGCATACGGTAATCGACTCATCTCGGCTATCTCAGCCTCTGTACTCGGGATCTGAGTCTTAATCAGTTTGGCATTACTCTGGATTGGTAAGTCGCCTTTCTTGGAATCTTGTATGATGAACCTTTTCAGCACCTTATCCAAGTAGGTACTTTGACTAAGTTCAATTAGTCTTTTACTCATGTCTCTTAATATCCTTATTCCTAAGATATAGGCAGCTTCTCCCAGGTCCTTCATAGTGTAACACTTCCCAAGCCAGGATTTAACCTCCTGTAAGATTGGGATGTCATTTCCTTTGAGTAGTATGTCATCCACATACAATACCAAAAAGCTAACTATACTCCCACTAGCCTTAGCATATACACAGGACTCATCTTCGCTCCTCGAAAAACCAAACTCTTTGAATTTCTTATCGAAACAAATATTCCATCTGTGAGATACTTGTTTCAAACCATAGATGGATTTCTCAAGCTTACACACTTTATTAGGGTGTTTTGCATTGACAAAACCCCCTGGCTGACTCAGGTAAACATCCTCAGCCAACTTTCCATTAAGGAAAGCGGTTTTGACATCCATTTTCCATATTTCATAATCATGAAATTCAACTATGGCTAGCAAAACCCTTATAAAGTTAATCTTCGCTATTGGCGAGAAGGTCTCATCATAGTTAACTCCCAGAGTTTGAGTAAAGCCCTTCGCAATCAGTCACGCTTTATAAGTGTGTACATTCCTATCCATATCGGTCTTCTTCTTGAAGATCCATTTGCACACGACCGTCCTATGACCCGGTACATTGTCAACCAAGTTCCAAACTTG